TGGACACTGGCTGCATTACTTTCGGAATTTTTATCGACCTGAAAAAAGCATTTGATACAATTAATCACAAAATTTTACTCCACAAACTTGAACATTATGGTATCAGAGGTCTTCCTTTACAATGGTTTGAAAACTACCTTTCCAACCGACAACAATCAGTCAATATTGATAACACACTATCTTCTTTCAACGAAATAAAGTGTGGAGTTCCACAAGGATCGATTTTAGGCCCCATTTTATTTCTAGTTTATATCAATGATATTATAAATTCCAGCCAAGTTTTCGATTTTTGTCTTTTTGCAGACGACACAACTCTGTTTAAATCTGTCAAAGACAACACAATCTATTTCTCTGACATTAATGACGAATTCCAGAAAGTCTGTGAATGGTGTAATGCTAACCAACTAACTACTAACACACAGAAAACAAACTACATGATTATAAAGTCACCACAAAGAACAGTTACTACAGAGGGCAGTTTGGTCATTAATGGGTCACCAATAGAGGGCGTTCGTTCCACACAGTATTTAGGCGTGACAATTGACAGTAATTTAACTTGGAAACGTCATATAGATTTACTAACTAAATTAATCTCCAGGAAAGTGGGTATTATCTCACAGATTCGGCATTATGTTCCAAAATCAATTCTTCTTCTGTATAATTCCTTAATACTTCCTCATATTTCTTACTGTTTAGAGATTTGGGAAAACACATACTCGTCTTTCCTTGAACAAATCTTGCGCCTCCAGAAAAAAGTCGTACGTCTCATCACGTTCTCCGACATTCATGCTCACACTGCCCCCTTGTTTAAAAAACTTGGAATATTAGATGTTTACATGTTATGTAAACTTCAAACATGTCTATTTGTTTTTGATCTAAAAAATTGTCGTTTTGCACATAGAATAAATCATTATCTGGACCCAATACCCCACAATTATGCAACATGTTTAAACATATCCCCAAAATGAATCTTTATGCCAAAAAACAATTAAATTTACTGCAACACGCCATTGGAATTCCCTTCCTAACACAATCAAAAATGAAATGAACAGATACACATTTAAATCCAAATAAAAAAATGCTCTCCTAAGTCAGTGAAACGACGAAATGTCTACTATAATTTCATTTCATATGTGTTTTTTTGTATATATATATAATGTTTATTGTTACTATTCTGACATTGTATGATTGAGTTTTTCACCAAGTAATTGACAAAAATGATTCAATCAGTTTATTTTCTTTCATGTATTTTGTTAATTTAAGATTTTTAATCCATTCAATTATTTAAATGTACAACTATGTACCTGTATATGACTTATTAATATTATTATCTCAGCTGGACCAGTCATTAACACTCATTAACGCTTATTCTATTACCAGGTAGTTGGTTAAAATCTGTTTATGCGTTGAATTTCAGTAGCCAGTTTGTAGCATTTTCTGATTT